TAAGTGATATTTTATTATATATTTTATATTATTTTATTATAATGTATTATGCAATCATTTATAATTTAGTTTTTTTTTAGCAAAACGCATTGTATTAATATAATCTTTTTTTTATCAATAAAACACATACGTAGAAGTTTACATATGAAGGTAATTTAAAACATTAATTAAGTATATTTATCAAGTCGTCCATTTTTCCACCTTTTCAGTTTCTCCCTGCCAATTACCTTCGCCAATTATCTTTTTCTGCAGGGAATGGCTACATCACGACGCAGACCCTCCGGGAGATCCTCCGGGAGCTGGACGACAAACTGACGGACGACGAGCTGGACGAGATGATCGGCGAGATCGACACGGACGGGTCCGGGACCGTCGACTTCGACGGTAAGATTTAACAAATAAATAAATATAATAATATTCGAATTTATTAAGGAAGTACCGAAATTTGGCAGGGAGAGCGGAGAAACGGAAATTGGCAGTTGTGAATTTTTTTAATGGAATTCCGAAATGTGTAAAACATACGTTCGGTACATTTAATGAAATTAAATATATGTTTAATACATTTAATTCAACTCCTCCCCAAAAAAATTCCTCTAAATAGAGAAACTGTTGGAAGTCGAGCTTTTGACACGGATATGTTTGAATATCCGACCTGAGAGAATAAATAAGAAGATCCAGGTGAGTTTCGTTTGGCATGAGGGGAACAAGGGAGCCGCGCTCTGATACGGGTTGGCCACCGGCCCGCGCTCTGATCCGGGTTTGGCCCCCGGCCCGCGCTCCGAAAATAGAACGCGGCCTGGCCCCTGTCAGAACGCGGTCCGTGAGGCGCGGTGATGGAAACAATGACAGGGCGATGTCGTCGATGCCAGGAGGATGGGGGGTGACATGTGTCATTCGTCGGGGTATCACCTCCGTTGGGGAATCACCTCCGACGGGGAATCTCTTCCTTCGGGGAATCAGTCTTTTTTTTAAGGGGGGTAATTACAGTTGACGTCTTTCGGAGAGCTATCACCTCTGATGTGCTTTCAGGGGGTATCACCTCTGACATGTAATCTCGGGGTATCACCTCCGACATGCATCAGCGAGGTATCACTTCCGACATGTGTTCTCTTTTTTCTCCTCCGCAGAGTTCATGGAGATGATGACGGGAGAATAGAACTCGCTGGCTCTCTCTCGCTCCGGGAATCTTTTCTTTCTTCATTTGACGACAGGATCTTTTGTTTGAGTCGATCTCTGCGGATGTTGTCGGTGTGAACCATCCGTCGGACGACCTGGACTGCCAGATTCTCCTCTCACCCTCGATGATAACCAGGACACATTTGGCGTGATCACATTCTCAACCATCAGGGATGTCACATTTCTCACAGTCTTTCTCTCGTGTTGATGATGATAATGACGATGTGCAATGCATTTTCCTTGTGGCCGCCTTCGAGGATGGTATCATTTCGAGCGATTCACAAGACAGAAAGCTCCTTTATTGACAAAGGAAGACAGAAAAATAATATTTGAAATACATCAATAGAGATATGTTACGATCAGCACGAGACACAGAACGGAATATTTCTCTTAATAAGCAGATTGCATACTGGCGTATTGGGGCGCTCCAGCACCTCCAGAGCCTCCTTTCTTGCCACCACCCGACCTCATGACGAAGGAAACCTTTGCGGGGGCCATTCCGAACTGTTGAATCCTCTGTCCTCCCATTCCGCCGTATCCTCCCGCTTGGCCACCTCCAATGCCGCCACCATATCCTCCAGCCTGACCACCTCCAATGCCGCCACCTTGTCCGCCTCCAATTCCACCACCATATCCTCCAGCCTGGCCCCTCCAATCCCCACCTTGTCCGCCTCCAATGCCACCACCATATCCTCCGGCCTGGCCTCCTCCAATTCCACCACCTTGTCCGCCTCCAATGCCACCACCATATCCTCCCGCCTGCCCCCCTCCAATTCCACCGCCGCG